AGTTGCGCAGGGTTCGGCGAGGGGGCGGCGCGGGCGTGGCGCTGGAAGGGGGTTCCGGCGGTGCTCGGCGGGGGCAGGCTCCGGCAGCGCGGCGCTCGGGGGGGGCAGGAGGGGGGCGGCGTAGGAGGGGGGTTCCGGTGGCGCTTGGCAGGGGGCGGGCTCCGGCGCCGGGGGGGCGGGGCTCGGCGCTCGGGGGGGGGTGTGTTCCGGCAGCGCTCGGGGGTGGGGGGTTCCGGCGGTGCTCAGTGCAGGGAGGGGCGGGCTCCGGTACGTGGCTCTCGGCTGGGGGGGGCACTTTTTTTTGCTGCTTGGGGCAGTAAAAAAGCTAGAGCCAGCCCTGGCTATCTGAAGTATGCATACTCATACTAGCGCTCATTAAGCGAGCTTGCTAAAAACAGTGCAGCGGTGGTATGGTTAGTCACCCTGTATAACCCCACCTGCACCCCAAGGGTGCATATTTTGGGCAGCTAACTTGTGCCCCCTCTTGTCGCTGCCCGTGCTACCCTGGCTACATTACAATTTCTAGCCCACTAATTCTCATTGAGCTAGCATGCGAATATCTACATGAGCTGGGAATCATGCCCCTAGCTCCAAGTGAAGGCATAACCTATGTGTCATGGCAACTTTCCTTCAGCTAGGGAGTTCTCTGGTATGGTAATTAAATCGAACAGAAGGGACTCTCAAAATTATGCAGCGTGGGTTCCCAGGCTCCTCTGCTTGGGGAGTGAGGTGTTTTTTTTGACATTTTGTTTCTCTAACTCCTATTCCCAGTCCCTTTTGTGGTAGGGAGTACTGACAATAGAGCTAATAAAGGGGTATAATATGTACGAACATCTGTCTCTTAGGTTTTTCTGTAGTGCTTATCACTGTAGCATTTAGTACATGACTTATTGTAAAGCAGTGGTTCTCAAACTGGGGGTCGGGACCCCTCAGGGGGTCCCGAGGTTATTACAGGGGGGGGGGTTACAAGCGGTCAGCCTCCACCCCAAACCCAGCTTTGCCTCCAGCATTTATAATGATGTTAAATATATAAAAAAGTGTTTTTAATTTATAAGGGGGGGGTCGCACTCAGAGGCTTGCTGTGTGAAAGGGGTCACCAGTACAAAAGTTTGAGAACATTTATAGAACACTTTGTGTTCCCGCACACACACTTTTTAGAGAGGCTGCAAATAGTTAGAATGGACTGTCTTTCAGCAGGTTTAATAAATAGGTACAGCTTAACCGTTACCTTCTGAACCAATTTAGAATTGGCTAGAAAAGGAAAACCAAAATGCGTTGGGGTGGGTGGGTGGGTGTTTTTTTTGTTTGTTTGTTTGTTTGTTTTTTTTTTTTAAGTAACATTCAGTTTTGGGACAACCAATATAGAATCTTTCCTCCCGGAAGACTTTTGTCAATTTCACTTTCAGCCTGCCTGGAGAACACAAAGCTGACAAGACGTCCCCAGGCAGATAGCCAATCAGCCAGCTGTCATTTTGATTTTTCTGCAAATCTGATTTTTTTTTCTTGTGTTTAAAAAAAGGGCATTTTCCATCAGCAGATTATTCTGATGGAAAATTTCCAACCACCTGTATTGAAGACACAAAATAACTAACTGAAAGAATTCCATTTGTTGTTCCATAGTGCACTGGTGGCCTGAAATCTTCCACAATGCAATACTTCAGAGAGCTGAGTGAGGAATGAAGGGGTAGATATCCAAAAGACATTGCAACTGAAATGATTTAAGGCAGTACTAGTGTAGACAGAGGGCAGAACTTAAACTGTTACTGCATGACTAGTGTGTGTGGATGCATGTGTGTGTTTTCCCTCTGTGTGCTGCCCCAGCCCTGCACAGACAGCTGGCCTGGCAGACTTCAAGCAAACAACCCAATGACCACAAGATCCGTTAAGGGATGAAGGCACCCAGCCAGGTTTATTGCCAACAAAGCACACTACTAGGATCCCTACTAGACTCTACCAGACCACTAATACTTGTATGCCTGTAACAATGGACCCTCTCAGTGAATGGTGGGACTTTCCATTCCTCACTAGGCTAGACAAAGATACTCCCTCTGAGATAAATCTTTATACCCTGATACAAACAAGTTAGTACTGCTCCTCTGATATAGTTAGTTAACTAATGACCTCAGGGGGCAGTATCAACCATCCTCTTGTATCTGTTGGTTCAATCAAAACATCTCTATTATGTACTGTCATTCTAACCTTGTCTTTTAGGCGGGATCAGTGTGTTTCTGTTATCCTTGGGGAATGTTTTTGTACCATCCTTGATATCGGGATGTTCTGGTACCACTTGATATCGGGATGTGTTTGCGTGAGCATTCTGTGATGAGCACTTCTTAGGAATGTGTATTTGTGCAATATCAGCCCTGTTCTTGCCAAATTCTGTGAGCAGGTCCTGCCTCACACCAGGCCGCTGATACAAGGGTTTATGTCTCAGGCTCTCTTTCTACTACATTGTGCATCAATTGAAATGTTAGTAATTGAGCCAGTTCAAGCCCAGACTGTTCAGGTCTGTAATATAGCTGAGCATGCATGTTTAAGTCTCAGTGCCTAGGAGCCGTGCACACCTGTGAGGTTGTTGTAGTAATTCAGTGATGTATTTAATTTTCCATGGGTGAGACCTACAGAGAAATAGGTTCATTTCAGGCCATCTCAAAGTTTTCCATGCACTGTTTTAAAAATCTGATCTCAATTCTCCTGGACTCCTTGAAGGTTTTCCCCCATCACTGGTAATTGGTAGTACTTTTCCAACTTGCTGTCCTTTTTTTTTTTTGTATGCATCTTCGGATGGAAGACAGCAGCTAGCCAACAGGTCTCAAATCCTGAGATCATGCAACTTGTTGTTGTTGTTCAGAGGACAGAATTTTTTGAATGTGTTTTTATCCTTTGATTTGACAAGGGGACAGCATTCCAAATGTCTCTAAGCTAAAGAGAGCCTCCATAATGAAGAATGGAAAGTAATAAACTCTTTTCTCTGTTGCAAATCACTAAGCAATTAATATCTTTCAAATTTAGGCTTCATAAGCAAGGAGGGAGATCAGGAGACTAATTTATAATCCAGATGATGGCATAATTTTAATACAAAAATGTAGTTTGCTTGTTGGAAAGAGGCCTGGCTTCAGTTTCTAATCTTTTTATATTCTTTTAAAAAAACGTATTTTCCCTCTGCACCAGGACTTATCTGGTAAAACATTTTAAAGGTTTCTGTTTCCAAGATATGGTTGTCAGTTTTCTATATGAGATTTGCAGTGCAGCTTTAAGGAAAATTTGACGCACTTTTTTGGAGCAGGAATGAAAGCTGAGTTTTCCTTATGTGTCTACATTTTTTTGGAAATATGACATAAGTGAAATAGAACACACATTATTCCCAGTGCTATCTGGACTGATGATTATGGCTTCTGTCCGGTCTGACATAAATCTGTTTAAGTTACTAAAATTAGAAACAACCATGTTTTCCAAGGCCCAGATTTTTAAAGAATTCATCTTGCTGCGCTGAGAGCAGCTATGCCTAACTGATATAGGAGCCTAAATCTCAAGTGCTTAAATCCATTGTGAAAATGAGGCTTTGGCTCCTAAATTAGGCATTGCTGCTCTCAGCACAGCAACACTGGGGACCAGATTTTCAAAAAAAGGTATTTAAGTGCCCTAGTAGACATAATCAAGTGATAGGAATGAAAAATCTACTCCAAGGTGCCAGTTCCAGGATGATGAATTATTTTTAAAAGTGTGTGTATATCTATCTCAGAAATGGATTTGGCCCTCAAGCCTGTTCTCTACTGGGGTAAATTGGTATAGTGCCATAGACTTTTATGGAGCTATACCAATTTACCTCAGCTGAGGATCTAGCCCTTAAACAATACTGTAGCCCATATAATATATATGTTGTCCTCATTTAGTTTTCCATATGCCAAGTGCACACCGTGTATACAGTGGTGCAGTGTTTTTAGGTATGTAGGCAGTATTCAAAACTCTCATTTCAGGCTATGAACTGACCTGCTTACTTCTCTCTAGACATAGAGGTGCCTGGAAAATTCACTGCACCTCTATTAAATATCAGCCTTTTAGAACGAAGTGTTGCTGGGAAAGGGGGTGAGAGATGCTCTTGTATTGGGCTTCAACTGCTGATGCAGATAGTCCTATGCCAGTAAAAATGAATACAATTGTTTGCAATAAGGATAGGAATTATGGTCCAAATGCTGAAAGATTTCGTTTTCACTTAGTTTTAGGGGTAAACTTCACCCTCTTTTTGTGCACTTAAGTGGTGCATGGGCCTTGTATTGGTCCACTGCACAGGTGGGATTTCACGCTTATTCACACAATGTCCATTGGCACAAATAGGAATAAAAGCACTGAAAGATGTAAAATTTGGCTGTAAGCAAACGTATCTTTTTAATCCAAAAGTTGGATATGATTGTGAGCTCCCTCTCTCTCTCTCTCCTTATGGCCGTCCTGAGCACCTACTGTATGTGTGATACAAATCTGAAGACGTTTGCCAAATCTCCTGGTCCCAGGCAATAGTGAGTACCTGGTATGCAAAG